TGGGGAAAAAATTACTTCAGTTGAAGAACTTCCAAGCACAACAATTAACTTTCTGACTAAAAACTGGTTAAAATATTTCGACTAGCCGCTTTTAAAAGCGAATCAATTGAACTTCTATCACATCCAACGATTATACCAAGAGATTTTCCTCAACGGTGAATAATCTTAACTTCATATCAGTGCTGTTCACATGAAAATATTTTTTTTACGAAATATCATCAGGAATTTCCATGATAATTATTTCTGTGTCAATGAAAGTTCGTATGCTATTGTAGAGAGGGGTTTTCAACAGACATTTTCTTTGTATTTCTAATTGGGCCTTACATTCTTTCTCTTTCACATAATGGTGTAACATAGCGGCAGTTTCTAGAAAAACTCTGCTATGATGTGGATATAACAGTCGAAGACATAACAGTCGAAGAAACTTCATCTATGAATCTAATGAAAAATGTTCTTGGGCTTCTAGTATTCTGACAGAATTTCTGTCAAATATTCAACATTTTGAGAAGAAATGAAGCACACTTCTGCATGTAAATAGGTAGGGTTTTCTTACCCTGAAAAAGTTGATCCCTCGATAAAGTTTTTGAAATTCTATGTTTCCCATTCATAGACCACTGACTTCATATTACATTTTCAATAGTTTCTGAGATATATACAACTATCAACACTCCATATCTCAGAAAGTACGAAGTTTTTAACATATATTAACAAAGACTTTTCTATCGTAGCGGCACTGAAAAATAATTCATACAATAGACAGTGAAGCCAATATAATTCCTTCTAGTTCCTAATGTTCTCTTTTTTCCCACCTTTCAGTTCATCAAAATGTCAACCTTTGTCGACTGATTATTCTTGGCTAGGTGGGAGAATAGATATGTTTCTATATTGTTATCAATCCCTCAAACATTAAACACCTCAAATTGTAACTCAAAATGAGTTAAATTAATCTTTAAATGGAGGGTTTTTTCCGGCCGGAGGAGATATACAAAGATATACATTAGCTACGTACGCCTCTGAATCACAATAATAGCTATTACTATTGGTTTACTACATCGTAGGTGTAAAATATTATAATGCATTGATTACCGTCGAGGAAAAAATCACTAGCCTTACGACTGCGTGTGAGGTCTTTACACTCAATGAAGGTAATTCGTTATTCGAAATTTGTCAGGCACGAATTGGTAATATATTGAAATTACTATTATCTGTTCTCATTTTACCCGAAGCTACAACTGAGTGACTTATTGGTGGTCGTAAAATGAGGATTCCCTGCGATCAAATATTTTGTAGGTATACGGCGTATTTCATTAACAACCAAGCTTTGGAGACCTGGTTTTTGATTTGTCGTGTCACTTCTTCTAATGTTCTGTGACGAATAAAACGTCAATTTTTCTGTAAAAATCTTTTCATTCATGTGTTATACTTGCGATGAGCTGTTTGGAACCTTTGGCGATTTAATGAATATTACTGCAATTCTATCCCAACACCAAACCGTTATTTTAACACCTTTTGAAAGAAGATTGAACAGTTCAATCTTCCCCTTGAAGATGACCACTTGGTGATTGAAACATTGTTCAATCTTTCTTCGAAAAAAAGATTAAACAGTTCAATCTTTCCCTTGAAGATGATCACTTGGTGATTGAAACACTATTCAATCTTCCTTTGAAAGGAAGATTGAACAGGTCAATCTTCCTATTTTAACACCCCTTGAAGGAAGATTGAAGAGTTCAATATTCCCCTTGAAGATGACCACTTGGTGATTGAAACATTGTTCAATCTTCCTTCAAGAGGAAGATTGAACAGTTCAATCTTTCCCTTGAAGATGATCACTTGGTGATTGAAACAATGTTCAATCTTCCTTTCAGAGAAAGATTGAACAGGTCAATCTTTCTATTTTAACACCTCTTGGTAGAAGATTGAACAGTTCAATCTTTTCCTTGAAGATGACCACTTGGTGATTGAAATATTGTTCAATCTTCCTTCAAGAGGAAGATTGAACAGGTCAATCTTCCTCTTGAAAAGATTGAACAGTTCAATATTCCCCTTGAAGATGATCAATTGGTGATTGAAACACTGTTCAATCTTCCTTCAAGAGAAAGACTGAACAGGTCAATCTTCCCCTTGAAGATGATCACTTGGTGATTGAAACACTGTTCAAAATTCGTTCAAGAGAGAGATTGAACTTTAATTTTCACATTCAGAAGGTTCCTAAAAACGAAGAATTGAATAAGATCAACCCATTTAGAAATTAAGCGGAAAATTATCCAGAGAAAAGCCTAATTAATTGGTGGACATCGGAATATTTATAACGGATTTATACCCCAAAAATAAGTTGAATTATTAACAGAGAAATAAAACAAATCGAAATGGAATCCATCACGATGGGTACTCTCCTGGTACTTTGAGTTGAAAGCGGATTGCAATAAAGCTCCGACATGGCAATTAATTTAATAACTGTAAATTACGCAAAGTCTGCAAATAAGGATTAATTTCAAAACAAAATATTAAATGCCGGTTATAAACCACGTAATTTAATGAAGTAAATATGCTATGAGGCCGGTTTTGTTTTCGTGTTTAACGAGTAAATGAAAAAGTTTATTATATGTTAATAATTTTAAATACTATATTAAATAAATGTTCACGCTAAGCAAATAACGGCACCTTATAATATATCAGCTTATAAGTTCAAAGCAATCAAAGTGTTATAAATTTCAATGAAGTCAGTTCCGATAACAAGATTATAAAATATTGTGCAATCATTTTTCGAAGAACTAGAGTTACTAGCTGGTAATGACCTCTACTTTTTGTATTTCCATGATATGAGAATTAATTTCATCGGCTTACTTAGATATTGCAGGCATTCGACAAGCTACAAATGGAGATTATTTGTGCTTGCTTCATAACAAATACAGAAAACATAGTGAGGATATATTTATGCATGATGGATGGGTCGAGAAAAAAGCTCAACCAACCAGGCCAAGAAGAGAACCAAGATGAAAGAATTAGACCATAAGTGAAAACATACAACTCTCGAAGGAAGTCAATGACCTGAAAGTGATACTATATACAAACTGACCGGAAGCAACACCTAGAAAAGATGAAAACAAAGGTTGTGAAATAGCAGAGATGCTAGCCAGATATACCCAGGAAACCACACCATGGTAGAACCCATAATAACTGTGCATGTGTCAGATACAAACCATCAACTTCATATGCAGGCTTTGAATAAGTTGTGGGGATACCAGAATCGATGATAGGAAACCGGAAATGAAATTGGTCAATAAGGAACAAAGAAAAAATGGGAGATATACTTGGGAATACACAGGGGAAAGTATGATTCGTCTCGAAGAAAAACCGAGGAATTATTTCTACAGATCGGGGATTGGCTCAATGTAATCTAAGGTCTGCCTATAGGAACCTGCCCCTTCATAGAACAAAACAAAAAAGGACCACATAAAGGGGAGAGCAACAAATGTTTGGTGAGGTTCTTCCCTCTGAGTAATCCCTATCTATGTTATAAGTAACAGAAGTTCCGAACAGTAAAGGTCGCTCAAGAGATTATCTAAAGCAGTATCTAAAATACTTTGAGTTCTTCATCAGAAGTTACGCTTCTGCTGATGTATGAGGAACAGATTAGACTCGTGTTGGAATGAGGGTGGTCCCAGAAATATCCAGAAGAAAACATGAAAAGTTTGGAGAAAAATGTATCAATTTTTCTACATACTCTCCCTGCAGCTCTATACTCTTTTCTTTGCGGCGTTTAATATGAATGCGATGCAAGACATAGAATGAATCTCGTGGGATTTGCAACTGACCATCTTGAGACGCCTCTTTTATCTTTGATATTCGAGGATTGAGTTTACTGTTAATCTAGTAGATGTCGCTGTCGTGAGAGATATCGTCGTCCTCACTTACGGAGCAACTATTGGCAGGAGTTTGCGTCAAAATTAGTCTCTAATAAGATTTCTGTAATGGGGGGATATACTTGGATGAACCACGAACTAGTATCTGAGAATACCTCTTAAATTCGGTAGGGTCTCAATTTATACTGAGGATAAAATACGCCAGGTCATGAGCAATGTAGAGGAGATGTATAACTAACTCCCCCCCATCCTTTGAATTCGTTATACAAAAGCCTGACTTGCAACTAAGATACTGTTTAAGATTATTTTTAAGTTTTCATACAATCGCTAATTGTTATAGATATGATTACTACACGTATTTTAGAGGTTCAGCTGAATAAGAAAATTAGTAGTTCAAGCATTTTTTCCTTTCATTACTTGATTCAATTTATACTGTGCAGAATGTAGGTTGTTTTGAGAATGATGAAAAAATATAATATGTATAAAAATATTGACAGTAGGATCATTTTTAGACTTACAAATATATCGATTGCTGTCTGTTACCAAAATAAAAAATATTATTGATGTTTTCACCGAATTCCACTATATTCAAGCACCACAGTTCAATTCGGAGACTAAATGTTCATTCCACTTTTCACTATAACCTTCTCTGGTATTTTTCTTCCAGTAAAAAACAACATAATTGTTCTTAAAACTTCTACATAAATTCTTAAACATTTCAATGAACTCTTTCAATATCTCTCAACTTCATCATTGGAAGTTGAATTTAATAGAAGAGAATTATTAGATTCCAACTGACCCTAGTGTTATTTCTGAACCTATTCATATTCGTATTTTAACAAATTTCTTTTCTCTTCCTAATGTAATCATTCATGCCTCCCTACTGAAAGATGGTTTGCAATCAGTTCTTGAATTGGGTAGACAAAACTGACAGAAAATAAATATTTTGTCTTTGTGCACAAAGTCCCAAGCGGAGCTTTACTATTAGCTGGTGGTATTGGCCAGGTAAGTAGTAGTTCTCCGGCAGGCAATCACCAGAACCTACGGTGTAGGTACTTTGGAGATTGAATTTCTAAATGTTCATTTTCTAGTACGTATGTATATCTTCTCGAAGAGAAGAATTGTAGTGACACTTACCGGCTATTGAAGATGTGGAGGCACCAAGCCAAGCATGTGAAGACTCCAGTAACTTGGCCTGAAACAGAAGAAATATAGATTAGAAATCGAATCGTCGGCGGCCAAACATGATTTATGAAAAAGTATGTAGTAGTTTCTGAGTTATGATAGACATTCGGAATATTCAGGAAGCATATTTTTCAATGATATGCTCACCGATATCCTATTACGTTTGGAGAAAAAAAAACAGGTGATCGAGCGATATTGAATGATTGAATATTGATTGCAATGCTACTTCAGATAATATTTTTCTAATTATGCTCATACTTTCAATGCACAATTTATATTTTGAAGTTTCTCAATTATTGGTAGAAATTGAATATTCCTCTAGCAAGCGCATATTTTACTTTTTATCAACAATTTGTCTTGAAAAATGTCCGCAGTATCATTCTCATTACTTTTGTTTTCTTCATAGTTGTATACAACAGCAGATTTTAGTTTTATTTAGAAGTGAAGTTTCGAGACTACTAAAAAACTACGATAATGTCTATAAAGGGTTCATTTGACATGAAATAATTTTTCTGATTTGTCCAGTGAAAACCTTGCTTTTCGATTTATGCATTTTTAAAAACAACAAATAACTCACATTAATTGCACGAGCTCCTCGATGAGAACTGAATGAAAATGCAGACAAAATCACTCCATATCACTTCTCATTTCACACATGTTTCTCAATCAAACATATGCTTCTCAGTCTAACTGAAGAACAATGAGGCCCCAATTTTAATTTTTTCAAATTCCTGCATAACCTCAATTCTTGCTTAACATCAATCCTGAACCAATTCCGCATATAAACGGCGAATGCCCCCACACAAAGGACATGTACAATGGCATTCCGTCCAGCTTGTTAAAAATACTTTATTGTCAATCGAGATGTATTTATTTATTGAAGGTTTCCTTATCTAGATGTCAAATTTAAGGGTTTGTCTTCATCAATATGAGATCGATCGGCAATAAACAACACTGGTTCTGTCTGATACGATTCTTTCGTTTAGAATGTAAATAGTTACGAAAGCATGATGACTGAGCTAAGAGCATAGTTGTGAATATTTCCGACAAACCTATATTAGTTTGTTGCGAAGGAGGAATGACTGAATATCGAGTTTTAGATTCAATCATTTTGAAACTATGCGAATGGAATAGACTAATAGACAAAATAGATTTCTTTCATCTTTTTTGAAGTCGGTATTGTAACGATTCAGTTCATATGTTTTCTTATACCCTCTCCAAATTACACAAATATAAGAAAGAAGGTACTGTCATATTGATAATCTCATGAAACATACTATATTCCATCCATCTTGTACAAAGAGTTATTATCTTTCAGTTCAGGTGGTATTTCTTCTCTTCTTTCAATTTCAAGATTAAATTTCAAGTAGAAATTCTGAACTTTTTGTATGTATTCCTTGAACAGATTGGTTGAACATAGACCACACAAAATATAAGCATATCAAATGTGCAAATGGTATATCTACGGATTCTAAATTCGAAAAACATAACGTAGGATTTGGTACAACGATCAGAACTCTTTTTCACAAATGACTTTATTTTTCTATTGCTTCAAAAACAACATGTTTCATTGTTTTCGCCAAGAAGAGGTTTTCCTTGCTTATATATTGCGTAGATCCACGATTCTGCATTCATAATTGCAACATATTCATTTCACGCGAATAAAAAAGTTCTCTTATCTTTGGCAAGGCAGAAGAAACCATTCATAGCTAAGTACTTCTACTTCCGCGGTAGCGTCAGACAAGAAAATCGTTATTTATATATCTCGTGGCAGAATAATGATTTACAGAGGTTGCAATCTTGATAAAAGTAAATTATAATGTTAGATTTCTTTGCATGTTTCTCTTCGGCCAACATATTATATGACAAAATGTATCATTATGAGAGTAGATTCAAGACTACTGTGCTGGTCAACAACCGGCCTCACTTAGCTGGCGGCGGTTAGATCTAATCGGGGCCGCCACCGACGCATAAAATGTCACAGATATCTAATTCGTTTTCGGAATACGAGGGGCGAAAGAATTGTTGACCTTGTCTAACCTAGATTAATTGGAGATATATAGTATTTGAGAAACATTGTGAATTTTTCAGTTTCACAAAAACACAGTGTTTCGCTGTACAATAGCTTCCTCAGGCGTGTCAGTAAAAGTATAAGTTCTTTCTGATTATTTATATCGCACCGATAAGTTCGAAGTACAAATTGAGCGAAAACAACTGTAATTCCATATATTTCAGTCACTGTTTCGGATGGATTTTTCTTTCAGTTTATTACTTTTTCCCTTTCTTTGAAAGCGTCTCATTTTGTGTGATTCACAGGACAAGTGATAAGTATGGGATCACACACAGATCTTTGGTTCCGAAAGCAGAATGTAAGGTCAGATGATTTATACAGTTAGATCGTTTTGTACAATCAATGTATCAGCCACACTTTTGATTATTTTAAAATATTTTAGATCGTCATCAAATAGCAAAGCTTCACTTTCATGGAATTAGCTAATTAGATCGTTAATGAAAAGGTTGAAGAACAACGGTCCCAAATGTGATTCTTGTGGAACACCCGAAGTAACTGCGTTGGTATGAGAATAGTAATGATTGAACCTGGCAGTTTGCGTTATTTCCTTAAGATAGCTCTTGAACCACTGCATTATTACAAAGTTGAAGAATCACGAGATCCATGACAAAAGTGAACCGTTGTAAAATAAAGTTGAATTATGAAATTGAGGTGATTTTAATCATAACGGTTCCAGGCTGAAAACAAATTGATACACAATATATATCTACAATCGAGGAAGTAAGTAACAAATAATTTGATCTTTGTCATACATTTTTTTAAATTTGAGTCACATCTTAAATTTTCAGGAAGAAAACTGTAAAGTTTTGGTCCTGAACACAGGTAGGATTTCTGCCCAACTGATTTGGGCATTGACGATACCATGATTCCGTCGTGTAGCATATTTATGGTGATAAGTAGTTAATTCTTTTGTGTTTCTATGCTATACAGCAGTGATATTTATAAAAAACAGCTGTCTGGGATCAAATATTCCAGATTCTGAATAAATAAGATCGTGGGATACATCTGGTAAATCTCTTCTGCATAAGAGAATGTAGATGAGTTTTCGACACTCCACCCCAATCAATTATACCATACACCACATGGGGCTCTACTAAACTCTTATATAACATAATTCTCTGTTTTTGATTGAGTATATTTGAATTTGTAAGTATGCAACGTAATTTTTTAACTATGTGGTTTATGTGCTGGTCCCATCTGAGATTGCTGTCTAAAATCATTCCAAGATATGTTATTTTCTTTGTGGGTTTCATGACTTCCGCGTTGGAGATTTTGATGTCATTATCTGGTAGAGAGTTATCATAACTACTGAATACCAAGTGGTAGGTTTCTCAAAGTTAATAGATAAGAGCCTGTGGTCGAACAACAATTTGATTTGATGAAGGTCATGTTGTAATTTCTGTTTCAAATTAAATCAGTTTTTGTCTTTGCAAAACAACATAGTATCATCGGCAAAACTCAGAATGTTGGAGTTGATGTCTTGTAGAAAAAAGTTGGTCAAGTAGATATTGTATAGGATTGGTCCTAACACCGTTCCCAGGGGCACACTACATGAAACAATTTCCTCTCCACCTATATGATTTTCCACTTTTACCCTTTGCTCTTTTTTGTAAAGATAACTTTTGAAAATATTATTCGCTATACCTCTAATTCCCACATCGCCCAGAAGATTCAGTAAGATAGAGTGGTCGACGGTGTCGAAAGCTTTTCTAAAGTCTATAAAAACAGCAATAGAGGGTTTCGATTCATCATGTTGGGTCTTGGGTGGACATATTATCTCTGAAGCCGTATTGTGATTCTGACAACAACTGGTGTTTTTCAATAACCATATTCAACCTCTTTTCAATAACCTTCTCAAGAACTTTAGCGAGACTAGTTATGAGTGAGATTGGTCTATAGTTTGCTACATCAGTTGTTTGTCCACTTTTATATATAGGTGTTATAACTGGCATTTTGAGAGCTGAGGGCAAACACCCCGGCTATAGTGACATATTCACTAGATGTGTTAGTAGTTTCGATATATAATCAGACACCAGTTTCAGATATTCTGCTTTGATAGCATCATAGCCAATTTCAAATACTACTTTCCGGCACCTTTTTCGAAATTATATAATTCAAAGACCGTCGTTCAAATCGCCCGGAAATGCCTAACAACAATCCGTCATTATAATATGAATTGTCTCATTGTGGGACACATGACACGTAATACATGGTTTTAATGAAAGTGAACTGTTGGGCGGGTATCCCGTCTGAAAATAATCGATGCAAAGCAAAGTTCACTTCGCAAACAGCTAGTTTGTTGTGTTGCAACTTCCATATCTTCAGGCCTAACCGGAATATTGTCCGTGTGTTTCTGCTTTAGGCAACGGACATGCATTCGCCGGGGCTTGTTAGCGACAAAACTGAACTCAAGCACATATGCCAGTATAAAAATATGCATTATTGAAGCAGGGAGAATCAACTGGAAATTCGGTTCTGGTGGGAAATCAAGTGGGAACAACTGGCCTAGCTTCGTACGTGACTAATTCTCCGGTTAGAGTTGTTTTACTGTTTTCATGGCAAAAAAGTCTAGTTATTTGTCTACCGATTAGTAGTGAAGCATTTTGCTATCCAAAGCAGCTTTTAACTTTGCTTGTGAAGGTAGTTTTCCATTAACGCGTGGCTTGCCAAATGTGATACCAGTTTAGAAATCCAACATAAACTACCGGACGTTGACAATTGATAACGGCGATCTTGTTAGGGCTACAATTAGTTGCCATTTATTCAGTCTGTTGTTTTTAAATGCTCACCGGTAAGAAATGAAGAGGTTATCGCTGAGGCCTATTTTGAAGCAAAAGACGAATCGTTCGTGCTATTTCCATTTCAAAACACAACTTGTAGAAATTGTCAACCATGTTGAAACCTTGCATCAATACCACCACAGAGTTAATGTATTCAAA